CCTCGTGTTGTGCTTATGTGTTACGTGTGTTTTGCGTTTTCGTGCCGGTGTACGTATGTGCGTATTTCCTTCATGTACACTGCTTCAACTGACCTAAAGATTGCAGTTTGCAATGGGCAGAGTAAATGTGTGGGATGATAATTTTTTTTTTCCCATGAATTACATAGACTCGAACTTTTTATTTCTACACTTTTATTTCCAACGAGAGTTACATAAGCGTCTACATTTTTTGTACGAGTTATTTGCATCGTAATGACAGAAAGAAAAAAAATAGGCAAATTGACTTGAATGGAGGAAGTGAAGGGAAACTTATTAAGAAGGAAAATGCCGGCCCTCATCATAAATAAATTATGATTCGAAAAGAAAGACGAATGAGGTCTGTCAAAATCAATTTAGAAAGAAATAAGAGAAAAAACGAAAAATAAACAAAAACAGCCAGAGAAAGAAAAAAATTATATAATCCTTGTTAACTGGATAGGCAAATATATGTATTAATAAACATTATATTTGTAAAAATATACATCTATAACTTTATACTCCACACGCAAACATATATATATATATATATATATATATATATATATATATATATATATATATATATATATTGAGACATGTTTCATTGAATAATTTAGACAAGTTTTGTCTACTTATTTTCAATAGGATCCTTTCATATTCACGGGGAGACCTTTGGTATCGTTATTAAAAAAGGAGAGAAAATAGTTAGTTAACTCCCCTGAAACGTTAATGATGCTAACCGCATGGTACCAAACTCTGCGTTACTCATATCACAAGTAAAAATTTTAACTTTCAGATGAATAGAGCAATAATGAACACTACACATTTTGTCTTAAAACACAACACCCTGATTATGAAATTGTTCTAATGTCGAAAGTACTCGGAATAAAAACATGTATCAACACAGTAATTTTCTGTTTTTTAATAAGGTTTGTTGATGAATATGAAATGATCCTGTTGAAAATAAGTAGAAAAACTTATCTAAATTATTCAATGAAACATGTATCAATAAAAAACATGCGGAAAAAAATAATATATATAGGGTGTAATGGATATATTGTCGTCTAAATTACAGGGAAATGTATATAATACTGACATCTCATTTTAACAGGTATATTTACCAAAATTACAATATATTGAAATACTAAATTTATTCAATAAAATCGCCATTGTCTTCAACTTCGACCGACAGACGACTTCAGAATCAACGGCAACTACGGTCTCCTTGTTTAAGTTGGTGAATGCTGCCATAATCCTTGCCTTCAGGTCATCTTTGGTGTTACAAGGAGTTTTGTTGGTCTCTCGTTCAAGTGCGCCCAAAACATAATAATCGAGGGTGTACAGTCTGGAGGGTGAGGTGGCTAGATGTAAGAGGTGATGTGGTCGTAGAAATTGTCTGGCAGCCATGTCTGGGGTCTCCACCTTGTGTGGAATCGTTCAGAGTCCGGTTGCCAGACATAGGATCTTCCATCAGCCACCCTCTTGACTCAGGGCAATACGACCTTTGATGTAGGCCTCCGCGTTGAGTCTGAGGCCCTGTAGCAAGATGAATTGAGGCATAACGTCGCCATCACTAGTGTTCACTACAAACACATTCGTACTCACCATTACACTCATCCGACTCTTTCCGAATCTTCAGTATTATCCTCAGATTGACATCCAAACACTGTGAAATGTTCCTATTGGAGCTTTCGATGCGAATGCCAAGCAGTGCAGCATGCCTTTTCCAAATTTCTGGCGAAGTAAATTGTGACATGGTGCTCTTTTTCTCGTAGACTGTGCCCAACAGACCCTACTATGCTGTGCAGTCGACAGAAGCAGAAGCAAACAACGCGCATGCGCGAAACTAAAAATATAAAATTATGATAATTTACTCATCGTAGACTGTATATATATATATATATATATGAAGAAAAATATACGGAAAAAACAAAAAAAAATCCTAATAAGCAATTATGCTGTTTTAATGTTAATATAATGTCAACGTCGGACGTTTCGGAATAGACCATTTTCAGGACATATTCATAAAACATAATTAACATAGACCATGTTTTATGAATATGTCCTGAAGATGGTCTATTAGACCGAAACGTCCGATGTTGACATTTGTTTTTTCCGTATATTTTTCTTTATACTGTCGGATCTATATCCATATATTTGCTTACATATATATATATATATATATATATATATATATGCGTGTGTGTGTGCGTGCGTGCTTCTGTGTATTTGTGTGTGTATTTGTGTGTGATACAAATATGGTTTTAAGGTATGCCTTATTTATGTGTTAAATTGATCAATATTAGGGAAAGAGCGAATGTAAATATAAAAATTAACATTGAAATCAACACCCATCGGCGACAGCTTGTTTTATGCTCTCTATATATTAAAGTAAAGACTGTTGTCAAAAACAAATGATGACAGTCTGTTTCATGCTCGAAGGCAATCTTCAGGCCAAACAACATAAAGATTTTTTTTTGAGCATCTTCTGTCTTTCTGAGGCATGTTGTTTCATTTTGCTTTCTTCTCACTATTTTTTCTTCTTTCAATTTCTCTCACTTTTAGTAACCCCTTCCGTCTTAGAAGTACTGGAGGAGAAACAAAAAAAATGAACACGAAGGGCTAGAGACAAATAACAACGAACCCCAACAAACATTTTCCTTTCTCCTCTTCATTACCCATTTTCCTGTTGTTTTAATCTGAGTCAAATCTCCCGTAGAGGCCTGAAGAACGGGAGCGAAACCGGTTTTTTAAAATGTCATGTAATATTAAGCTACATATTTTCAATTCTTTAATTATATTTTGTACTTTTAAAAATATTTTCAAATATATATATATATATATATATATATAATAGATAATAATAATAATCTATTTCTTTAGTATTATAGATACACTTTCTTTCGTGAAATAGATACACTTAAGACCACATTTGAGAAAAAACTCTGCTCTTAACTTTACCTATGTACCTAGTCAAAAAGCAAACACCCGTTCTTAGATGTTCTCGTAGAATATAGTAATAACACTTTTATCACCTCATTATATAAAAAACCCACTAGCAGAAACTCTTGCTACCTTAACTTTAAAAGTGAATGCCCACTCAGATACAAAATAGCAGTAATAAAAAATTTCTAAAAAGAGCACACCAGAATTCATCCTATCGACTACTCTTCTTTAAAGAACTCAATAATGTAAAACAGACACTAATTAACAATGGCTTCCCTAACCACCTTATAGACCACCAAATTAGATTATTTCTCCCCAAATAACGATAGCGAACATGCAGTCAAAAATTACATAAATATTTTCTACAAAACCTAAATGCACATTAACTACAAGCAAGTTGAATAAAATAGAAATATTATAAAGAAATACACTACCCCAATTGACCCGAATAAAAAAATCAAATTATCTACTATAAAAATTTTAAGACAGCTAACCTTATCCTCAAAAATAACAACACACCAGATAAGTCAAAATTAGAACGAACGAACATTGTCTATGAGTTCAAATACCCCCTAAGGAACCGTGTTCCTGATCAAACCGAATTCATAAATAATTACATCGGTCACACAACTACATGTCTATCCAGACGCCTTGCGACACCTATCTGACCGGAGTTCTATTAGAACCCATTTAAACACACACACAAACTTACCAGATTCCATTCGAAACATACTAGTAGATAACACAAACATAATAATCTCATCCACCTGTAAAAAAGATTAAAAATAATAGAAGCCATAATAATAAAAAAGAAAAAGCCAACTCTTAACAATATTAACTACGAACAAGGCCACGATGTGCTAACCGTGTTCGGAAAATAAAACATCTCTATAACACACTAAAAACATACACATAATGCACACACTCAATTAAACTGAAAACATAAAGTTATCCTTAATAATGGCTAAATGGTATAGCCGAAAGCGTTCAGAACTATAGAACATTTAGACAATTTCTACACATTCTGTGTCCGAAAAAGAGAGCTCTTGTTCAAACACAAGAAAAGCTTAACTGTAGTACCTAGTCTGTCGTTTTTTAATGAAACAGGCATAAATGAAGGATTGTTGCCTAAATACACTATATATATATATATATATATATATATAGCATATTTATTTCAGTTTACCCATCTCTTCCATGATTATTTCACTCTACCTGCCCCTTTTTTTAACATCTATGTATTGCCACACTTCTATCGATGGAATTTTATCTACCTTTTTGGACACGATGGTGGTATCAAAAAGTCTTGGCCTTAAAATATAGTATTCTTCCTCTATGTGACGTGTCCCTTCAGGGCGTGTCCGTTAATGGCAATCCACAACTTCTTTTAGCTTTAAGACATTTTATCCATTACTATCCTTCCCTGTCACTGTTCTATCGCCCATTTACAAATGGTAATTATGTAGATTACTTTCTATTTCTCTCTGGCCCGCTTGCCTTCAATATGTCCCGTGAGTGTCAATCTTTCCAAGTCTTCTTTCCTCATTATCCGTCCCGAAATTATCAATTCTATTTTCGAGTCTAGGTAAAAGTGTCCGTTTCGTTACCATTTTGGTTAAAACTTCCCCGTTGCACATATGTTCCATATATATATATATATTCTCGACGCTGTTCTGTAGAAGCAAATCTCTGTCGCATCAATTTACTTTATCTGTGAGAAAATTGTCCCGCATTTACAAACTTATAGACGTTTAGATAATAGATAACATTTCATAACATTTTGCTCTATTTTTTTTTTTTAAAAGTCATCTTTCATTATTTAATTGCAGCTTCGGATTGCGGTGTCAGATTCTTTTAAGGGTTACTATGTCTTACAAAGTTGATGGATTGTTCAGCAACTGCATAATGAATCCTGGTAGATGTTAACTTTTGGAAATATCTTAAATTAGTTAGAAAAGAAAATCCCATTAGTACTAGAAAGAGCAATAAGAGTTAGTGGACTGCAGATGCCTATCTTCCGGCTAACTGTTTCATAAATGAATGATAAATATTTCAGACTAAACGTAACATTACAATTATCATTTAATTCTATTCGCATCTATCTATCTATCTATCTATCTATCTATCTATCTATCTATCTATCTATCTATCTATCTATCTATCGTCCTTTCAATATCTATCTATCTATCTATTTATCTATCTATCTATCAAATGTCCTTTCAATATCTATCTATTTATTTATCTAATGTCCTTTCAATATCTATCTATCTATCTATCTATCTATCTATCTATCTATCTATCTGATGTCCTTTCAATATCTATCTATCTATCTATCTATCTATCTATCTATCTATCTATCTATCTTTTTAATCATTTCATCCCAAGCGAGCCAACAAAGACACTAAGATGCAAGAGATTCGATAGCATGAAGTACTATATAAGACTGTTACCATAGAACTTACGGTTACATCTCGATATTCCAACTGTAAAATGAGATCTTGCAGCTAATCTAGTACTGCGCTTAGATTAATAAGATCTCACAGAGAAAAGTTCATCAGAATACGATGAAAGTATTTAGAGAAAAGAACAGGGAATATATATTACAGCAGAGGGAAAGTGACTGAGCCGAGATGCCATTCATCTATCTATCACTGTGTATTCTTTATCTATTTATCTATCTATTTCTCTCTCTATATATATATATATATATATATATATATATATATATATAGTTCTGTGTATTCATTATTATCTATCTATCTATCTATCTATCTATCTATCTATCTATTCATCTATCTATCACTGTGTATTCCTTTATCTATCTATCTATCTATCTATCTATCTATATATATATATATATATATATATATATATATATATGTATATATATATAGTTCCGTGTATTCATTATCTATCTAGCTAGCTATATCTATATCTATTCATCTATCTATCTATCTATCACTGTGTATTCATTATTCATTCATTCATTCATTCATCTATCTATCTATCTCCCAGTCTGTTCACAGCAATCTAGCTGGTTAGCAATGCCATTCTTGAATGTCCTTATTATATATTCCTGTTCTATCAATTTCCCGTTCTATCAATTTCTGAATATATAAAAGGAGAGAACGAGAGAGAGACAGACAGATATATAGCCCTCTGATGAAGGTAAATGCTTATTATGAATGATGTGTGTAAAAGATATGAAAGACGATGATAGGAAGTGGAAATTATGAAAGAGAGGAGAGAAAACGATTGACCCTTGACTTGAAGAGGTTTACATTACAATGCTCGGGAAAGCATCCGGAGGAAAGTCTGTTCCACAAAGTAGCGATTCCTGGTTGTTGGGGAAGTATTCTGAGCCGAGAATGATTCAACTCCATGTACTGTAACAATGGCTTACGGTCAAATCACGCTGAAACACACGGTTCTCGTACGGTTAAGGTCAGTACTTAGATGGGGGACCGCTTGGGAACACCTGGTACTGTAAGTTCAAAGTCCAACCTTACCTCACAGTCGGTAGTGTCAGATATATGCCGCCCGAACCTCGTTCCTGGTAGGGCCACCCAAGGCGGACAGGTCTGACACACACGCCGACCAACAAGGGCTCTGGTGAAAATCCAAGGAGCGTCTGCATCGGTAACCGGCGGCTTCTGGTCGTTCCTGTCTCTGCGTCTGTGGGAATCCCGCGGCAAGTAAGAACGTTATCCGAGTAGGCCTGGGTACCCTACTTCTGTAATTTATCCCAAGAATCTTCTTCTCATAACAGGAAGAAGCCGGCTCAATCCGCCCAGGGTGAATGCCGCATCAGTACAGTCAGTACAGTACTGTAACAATGAACTCCTCTGAACGAAACTGGCCCAGTTAAAACAATAATACCTGTCGAATCATTTACATGCCATTTTTTATACATTAAGTTTCACCTTGTATAAGGCCACTCAAGGTAGAGGGTTACGTTAAGGAGTAGTTTATATGGGTAGGAGTGGAAGATAACGGTTAACTCTAGACTTGAACAGGTTAAGGTTATAATGTTTGAGAAAACATCGTCTTGGGAGTTTGTTTCACAGGGCAGTGGTTCGCGGGAAGAAGCTGTTTGAGTGGAACTTACTCCTCACCGATGGAATATAGAATGAATGTGGGTGGTTTGCTACAATGTGAGTGCCATGGTGGATCCTAGCCATAAAGGTTAGGCCTGACGGAACCAAGGAATGTAGTAAGTCTGAGCACTTTTCATGGAAGTAGCAATAGAACAGTGAGAGACTCGCCATATCCCACCTGTGAGAGAGAAGTTGCAGGATAGAAAATAATTCTTCTCCAACAAGGACTCGGAGACGTTTTTAAAATCTACCAAGACTGGAAGGTCAGGACTGTGCAGCTCCCACCAAAATATGGCAACAGTGCTCGATTTTGGGTCTGATCGTATAAAGGTAGCGGATAGCATATGAAGTCAGGTACTTACAGGAGCGGTACAGGGAGCCGATCATTTTACCTGTATCGATAGCGATGGATCTTATGTACGAGTTCCACTTGAAGCCAGGGGTGAGTTTGAAGCCCAATATTCTCTCAAGGCACAGAGCCTCCTAGAGGGGACATCCGTTCAACCTGACGCAGTAGTTCGGGATCTGATGGCACTAAGAGAAATAAATTTTATTGAAAAGGATGTGAAAATTAATATAGCTAAAGGCTGGACCACCTTGAATAAAATGGATGTAATCTGGATATCGGATCTACCAGACAAACTCAAGCAGAGATTCTTTTCAGCCACTGAAGTGACGGTGTTAATCTATGGTACCACTGCTTGGACATTAACCAAAATCCTCGAGTCTAAGCTTGATTGTACCTACACTCGGTTGCTGAGAGCTATACATAACATCTCCTGGAGACAACGTCCAACTAAATCACAGACCTATGGGCCTATCCCTGTTGTTTCTACAATCTTACGTGAAAGTAGAATGCGCTTTGCAGAACACTGGTGGCGAGCAAAACTAGAATTCGCAAGTAATCAAGTGCTCGGAACACCGTTGGTCACATAACAACCACCTACACTGAGCAGCTGTTATGACATAGAATGTTACCATAACGACCCTACGACAGTTCTGGTTGGCGTGATAGATTCATGAAAGTCCTAACAATCTCGACCAATAATAAAAAGATAAATTATATCTTGTAAAATACTAATATATACAATGGTAACCAATGTCGCAGTCTGCAATAAAATTTCCTCATACGGCCCCACAACTGACTATTAATAGATTTATAGCAGATCTTGCGCGTAGAGTTATCCCCCTTTCATACCAGGCCGATCTTAGCGTTCTTTGATGCAACTTTGCGTATAAGCAATTTAAAATAACATAGAATCTAAAGCCACGGATCAGGAAGTAGATGAAGTGGGTGGATAGGATGTCTGCATAAGTATATAGGTAAGGTGAAATAAATATATATTTAGGTAAGATGAAATAAAACAGAAGCCATTAGACAAACACGAATTATTAGTTCCTCTTTCAGTGCATAAGAAAATGTGGCATTCATATCGCAACTGTGTAAAAAAAAAAAAAAAAAAAAAAAACTTCGTTGCATGCACAGAATCTTCGTCATTCTTGACAGGAGGTCTGCCAAATGTCAGAAGGGTCGTGTCAAATAGAATTCGGTTAGGAATTTCTAAAACCAAAAACAAATTTACAGGGTTTTTCGAAGATCATCTACAAAAGAGGTTATGAAATTAATGGCTTCGTTTTTTATTATCCCAGCCCACGAAATGAAAATAAGGTAGGATATAAAAAGACGATAAGCCTTCAAAACAGTAAATTTTTGTTTATTTATTTTATCTGTTAAACATAGCAGTCTGACTAAATTATGTCTGACAAGAAACTGCACATGAGTCAGAAGTATGTTACTGAATTCCAACGTACACCTGTTGATATTTATCGACACTTGTTGAACGTTTATTGAGACCATGGCTATCCACAATTTTCTGTCTTTTGTAGCCCTTAGTCAAATTGATCGGTTAACTATATGTTCTAATATCTGTTCTAGTTAACCATTTACACAAGCTCATTTGATATGTTATTCTTGGTTTTCATTTCAGCCTCTTGCTTTTAATCTGTCCTAGGAGTATAAAATTTTCCAAATCATCTTCCCTTATTATGTGACCCAGAAATTTTAATTGTCCCTCTCTGATGCTACTTCTAAGAGGCTTTTTTTGTTTCTATTTTCTCTAAAACTTCATCATTGCTCACATGTTCGCTCCATGATATGCTCACGATTCTTCTATAGAACCACATTTCGGTTGCTTTATTTTTTTTTTAAATGAACTTTGTTGGACATCTATCTGTTTAGATTAATATTGTTATGTTGGGATAGATTGTAAATTTTTGACATTAGCTTTTTTTTATTTTTTAATTTGATTAACATTGTTGTTTTTGTTGGTGTATAATATTTAATATAATATTTCTATGATGGGATATAGATGTCTCGATATTACTAACGTCGCTATATCTGATGTTTACATTGTTTTACTTAAAAAATTTTCTTTAAAATTGCAGAATAATTGAAGTGTTAATGAATTAAATTTAGGAACATTCTTCCAATATTCCTTTCAATATTACGATTAAAAGGTGGACGAAACCATATTATGTTATGCCTAAGGTGTTTCTGTTTATTTTTACCCTTTTTTTTTCTTCTAAATTCTCTAAATTTACTTTATGATTGTGTTATTTTGGAATAAAGTGTCGGTGCCGACATTTGAGTTTGAACATAGATCGCCAGAGAACAAGCACAGGCGATCTCATTGTTGAATTAAGTAGACCACGTGACAATACAGGAAACGCATATGTGGGAGGTAGCGTGTTTCTGTTCTATCCTCCATTACTATTCGGATCACCATTTCTACTCTGTCCTCTATTACTGTACGGACCGCTATTCTCTACTCTATTCACTATATTATTTCTCTATTCGGATCACTATACGGGTTACTAATAGAGAGAGTATTATCAAGCAAGTACTATTAGCGCGAGTGATATTCGAAGGCACTTGACAC